TCGGAAAGGTATTCAATGCTATCAAGTTCAGCAGAACAGTTGGTCAGAAAGCCCTGCTCTATACCCAAATATGTACCAGTTTAATTAAAGGTGTGTTTAAAGGGTAAACCAGTTTAGTTAAAGCAGGGCAAATGCCTGTGAGGACACTCTTAAACTGATATTTAAAATATATATATTGATTTAGCTTAATTTGGTAACCGGTCTACACACAGAAGGCACACTGCCTCAACTAAATTGGTTACTAATCCATTTAATTACATGGGTCCAAAACCTTTATCAGAACCCTCCTATTAATTTGATAATGTTTAAAATCTTCAGTAAGCTAAATTGATATTACACAAACCTGTTCATAAATGTCCACACAAGACCACCAATTTGATTTAGAAACTAATTTAATTAAATCAATGTGTTTTCTGAGTAGACCCATCTCAAGGAACTGACTAACTAAATTAATATAAGTCATTTTTTAAAATGATTTAAGATCATCTACACAGAGGCTTGCTCAGTTTTAATTAAATTAGATTTAAATAGATTTTAGTTAAACCAGTGCTAGTTTGTGGGTAGACAAGGCCAAAGTCATTATACTGAACTAGTACTATAGGTAGTGTAGATAGCAACACCTCTAGTTATAGTTTGTCTGACACTCTGCATTATAAGACCCTATTTTCAATCACTAATACTCACCTTGAAGATTTAAACAACTTGGGCTGAAATTTTCCAAGGCAGGTGTCTGCCTCAGGCCGAAGCGTTTTGGATCCCTTCAGCTAAAACGGTTGAGCCATTTCCAAGATTTAAGCCAGGGAGAAAAACATTGTTATGGCCATGTAAAAACAACATTTACAATCATTTTATTCTACTAGATTCTTTGGAACAGGGACTTTCAGTTTAGCAGGGGTATTGCTCAGTGTCAGGGACGTGTCTTTTGCTGTATCCATAAAAATTTGCCGTTTGGCCATTATAAGTCTGGGGGGGGGGGGGGGATGGGACTTAGCCTGAACATGCTCAGTAGAGATTTGTTAGAATTCTCTGATGATTCTGTTCGTACTCAGCAAGCCCCATATCCCAGAGATGCAAGGGCTGAGCTGTGTTTTCACTGCAATTGCTCCTCCTACCATCTGGGAGCCACTGTGGCACTGAGAACTGGAACGAACAGCAGGGAGACTCTCTCCAGTGCTCTCAATGGTCCCCCTGCAGGCACACTGGCAGTGAGGAGGTGGTAATCTTACTTGAATGCAGGTGGGAGTATATCAGGGAAGGGAAGAGATGCAGCAGGGGAAACAGGGGTAAGAGCTTGCAGGGAGGAAGGATAGAAGCCTGTGGGAAAAAGAGAGATGGGGGACAAGGGCAGGAACAGAAGGAGGTGGGAGAATAGAAACAGAATGTGGGCAGAACCAGAGGTAAGGGATAGAGGAAGAAGCTTGGTGGGGACATGACAGGAGACAGGAGCAGGAGCTAAGGAGCATGGTGGGCAGTAGCTGTGGACGGGGGAGGCAATGAGCTGGGTGGTATCGGGTGGGAGTTGAGGGAGAATAGTAGCAGAAGAGAACAGAGCGAGGCTGGGGATTGGGAAAGAAGGTTCTGTGGTCACTAGAAGATACTTCCCTGCAGAACTTGGAAATGAATCAATTATTCCAGCAAAAAGAACAGAAGTACTTGTGGCACCTTAGAGATTAACAAATTTATTTGAGCATAAGCTTTCGTGGGCTACAGCCCACTTCATCGGATGCATGTAGTGGAAAATACAGTAGGAAGATATATATATATATACACACAGAGAACATGAAACAATGGGTGTTACCATACACACTATTAGGAGAGTGATCAGTTAAGGTGAGCTTTTATCAGCAGGAGAAAAAAAGAACTGTTTGTAGTGGTAATGAAAATGGCAATTGACAAGGAGATATGAGAAACTGTAGGGGAGGGGGGGAAATAGTTTTACTTTGTGTAATGGCCCATCCACTCCCAGTCTTTATTCAAGCATAATTTAACGGTGTTCAATTTGCAAATTAATTCCAATTCAGCAGTCTCTCATTGGAGTCTGTTTTTGAAGTTTTTTTGTTGTAATATTGCAACTTTTAGGTCTGTAATCGAGTGGCCAGGGAGATTGAAGTGTTCTCCAACTGGTTTTTGAATGTTATAATTCTTGACGTCTGATTTGTGTCCATTTATTCTTTTACATAGAGACTGTCCGGTTTGGCCAATGTACATGGCAGAGGGGCATTGCTAGCACATGATGGCATATATCACATTGGTAGATGTGCAGGTGAATGAGCCTCTGATAGGACCTAATCACATCAGCCACACTATGATGGTGTCCCTTGAATAGATATGTGGACAGAGTTGGCAACGGGCTTTGTTGCAAGGATAGGTTCCTGGGTTAGTGTTTTTGTTGTGTGGTTGCTGGTGAGTATTTGCTTCAGATTTGGGGCCTGTGAAACCTAGTGGCTATGTGTCTCCATCCACACATACGGTGCCATGTCTACATAGTAGAAGTTAACATCCTACTCCTGCAACCAGTTACTCATTTCCTCAATGAGGCATTCAGCAATTACTGCCTCATTCAGTGAGAAACTGAACAGTGCTCTGGGAATGAATCGGGGTTGTGTAATGAATTAAGCTATTCTCTGCAGGACCCCTATCTCATGTGTGGTAAAAGTTGGAAGTGTGATATATGAGGGAGTGGGCTGCAGCAAGAGAAAGGATAGCCTTGTGGTAGCCTCCTATGTGATGCTAGGCAAGTCCTATAAACCAACATTTTCACAGGTGGCCTCTATGTATTCCTCATATTTTGGGTACCTCAGCTTGAGAAACCTGGGATCTGGCTTGCAAAAGTGCTAGGTAGTCACAGCTGCAACTGAAGACAATGGGAGTTCTGCTCTGAACGTATAAAATGGTAAGTACTCTAAAAACAAAACAAAAAAATCAGACCCCAGGCATCTCAAGTGGCATACCCAACTTGACACTTTTAGCTGTAGTCTGTGCCTCAGTTCCCCATATGTAAAATGGGGATAATACCACCGCCTCACCTCATGGGTGATGTGAAGATAATTCATTGTGTGTAAAGAACTAAAATATGATGATGGGAGCACAGTAGAAAAGCCCATGAGGAAATTAATAATTTTGTCTTCACTCCAAGGTTTGGCTGGCATGCAATAAAAAAAAATATGCCTGGGGCCAAACACTGAATGATGAGGAAAAAAAGCAATATTGAATAGATACCCATTTAATGAACACCATTCATCCTATGCACTGAATGAAGTGAGGATCCTGCGGGAAAGAGCATGTGATCATGTAGGTAAAGCACAAAGGGACTAAAAGAATTAAGATTGCCTTTGCAACCTTAATTCTAGCACTTCCTACCTTTTGAGTGTTTAAGATCACAGCCTTAATGTTATTTAATGTAGAGGATTTTTATGTTTTACATATATATAATTTATGTTTATTTAACTGCACCTGTACCATTTACTAATGTAGCGGTAAAATGTTAAGTTTTGTGATATCTACAACATTTTGGGAGAAGAAAAACTAATACAAAAAAATGTGTATTATTGCATTATACCTGATCATTCTAGATTTTCTGTTTTATGTTGTTTTCATCACCAACACTACATAAGAGAAACTGGCATAGTATACCATGTTTGCCTTAGAAGGATGCATGAAAGTACATACCTAGGCCACATCAATGCTCTTTGTCCCTGAAATTTACCATTCTTGCTACCACTTTTGCCCTGCTCTGTTTTCAGCTTGCCACTATGTTCTGTTGTTCCATTAAATGCAGTAGAAAGCACTTTAAAATAAATTGATCCAGATTAGGATTTCAATTAGACCATGTATTATCTTGAATAACTCCATGGAAGTCTATGAACTAGTCAGCTCCATTGATGTCAATGAGTTTACTCAGGCTTTATGCTGGCCTAGATGAGGTCAGAATTTGGCCTCTTGATCACAAGATACTACATAAAATTATATTCTCTTGCTTAATATTTACCAGCCCATGTGTATAATTAGCAGAGTATTTATTTGAAATTAAATTAATCTGTTTGTGTACATTAGGGTATTCCCAATTATCTGAAGTTGAGCTGCTAACACAGGCCAGAATTGTAGTTATCTTTGTTGGTAATAAGTAGTAGTGGCCTTCCTGAATTGCAAGGAAAAAGGTCAGTTATTCAGACTGAGATTCCAGCTCACCAGGAGGTAACATTAGTTTGTTCCATAAAGACTCATCTAGTATGTAGGTACTTATTACATTTAGTTTTTTGTTTGCTTGATGAAATATTTCATCAGACACCCCAATCAAAATCCAAGATCCTTTCTAGAAGTGCCATTTGGCTTTGTGTTTTACAGAGGTGGTTTTGATGCATCTATTTTTTTCCTTCTCGCGGAGATGTATCTAAACAGGAATGTTGAAGCTGAGGGGAAGTTCACATTTAAAGTTATTTGCTAAGCTGAGATGCACTTCTAGTAATAATCACCTTACCTTGAAATCTTGTTTGTTACTATTCCTTCAGCAGCAATGGCTTCTGAGGCCCTGAGCAACTGCCATAAAAATAGAATAACCTAAACCCAACTGAAGGATCAGCATGAACTAGGTATTATACTATGTCTGAAGAGGACCCAAATACAACAAAGAGAAAATATTAAGCCAAAGGATATTAGTTTGCTCTTCTAGACTGGTAAGAAGTACTGTTTACAGAAGTCAGTAGTGTGTCCCAAACAAGTGTACAGTAGGTCTCGTTATTTCAGCACTAAGAGTCCAAACTTGGCAAGTAAAAGCCTTGTTTCGTTCCAGAGATCCTTTGCCCAAGTTAATGATGGCAGGAATGGCTCACAGGCCAAGTAATTACATTTTTCCCCACTCCATGATTTCTCTGCTTAGAGCAGGATTGAGGTTTCCATAGTCTAAAAAGGAATGCTACTAGTACAGAAAAACAAATACATAAGAAATCTCAGTGATTTATTTTCTAAAAGTACAAAATAAGTCAATCTTTTAAGGAGGCATTTTTAAAAAGTTTAACTATAAAAACATTGTGGGCAAGAGGCACCACTTTTATCATTACTCTTACAAAACAGACAGACATTGACATATAAAACAGATGAACCAGTTGCAGGTCAGCCAGCCATAGAAGACCCTTACCTGTATGTTATAACAAATATGTTTTAGCTCAAACAGATAAGTACTTTTCGACCCAGGTTGGCTGTCCCATAGCTCCAGTGAAGATTCCAATAAATTACATAAATAGGAGCAAAGCACACACCCTTCTGTACAAGGCTTCCCATCACCAGGGAGTCCGCCACACACTCCCAGCTACTTCACACAGCGAGAGCGCTGGGAGTGACCGTGTCTCTTAGGCGTCTGGGTAAGTGCAGTAATACACAGCAGTACTTGCATCCGAAACCACCGAAGAGATGGGCCCGTGGGCGTCTGGCGCGGGCAGGCCGGCTTCGTGGCCCTGGAAGTGGAGCCCTAGCTCGGGCTTGCAAGCGAAGTGCAGGTACTGCTCGAATTCGGTGCGATCCACGTCGCCCAGCAGCTCGTCCTGCGACAGGTGCTCCAGCGACTCCCTGCACTGCGGCGCCTCGGGCGGCGGCGAGGGCTGGCAGGGCTGCGGTGGGAGCTGGGGAGCGCGGGCCGGGCCGGCGGGCGGGCACAGCTGCCCGTAGTAGGCGTGCAGGGGGCCCTGGCAGCCCAGCAGGCTCTGCAGGGAGCTGAGCTGCCCCAGCGGCTCGGCGCGGGGCAGGTGCCTGCGGAGCGCGGCGCTGGCCTGGCTCTCGGCCCCGTGCGCGGGGTACTCGGCCGCGGGGTAGCCGTAGGGCGCCAGCTGACACTCGTCCTGCAGGGGCGGCGTGAAAAAGCCCGGCTCGGTCTCCGCCGCGTCCAGCGGGGAGGGGTCCGGGGTCGGCAGGTTGTAGCCGTCGAAGGCGGCAGCCAGGGGCTGGCAGTCCCGGTAGTGGCCCAGCGCCGGGGGCAGCGCGCTCTGCACGGCGGGGTAGCCCTGCTCCGGGTAGGACAGGGCCAGGCTCTCCACGCACATCCTGCTGCCCTCGCTGGCCAGCCCGGCGCCCGGCGCCTCCGCCAGCCCGTGGGGCAGGAAGCCGCTTTCCACGCGCTTCAGGCGCTTCACCTGCTTCCGCCGGCGCGGCCGGTACTTGTAGTTGGGATGGTCCTGCATGTGCTGCACCCGCAGCCGCTCCGCCTCCTCCACGAACGGCCGCTTCTCCGCCAGCGACAGCGCCTTCCAGGCCTTCCCTGCGGGGC